AGGGATAGGTATTAGCATTTTCTTAATACAAAATTAACACTAATACCAAAGAATTATATTATTTTTTTAACACTAATGCCAAAGCATTAAGTTAATTTTTGCATTCTAATACAAAAGCATTAAAATTAGTATTATTTAATGCAATGCTAATGCTAAGCCACCACCCCTAGGACCATGTAAACCGCCAAAATACGACCGTTTACGGGCGTATACGACGCCCGTCATCGTCGACCTGGGTGTGTTCAGATAAACTGTACATAGACGAGTTGCTATCAAAAAAAAATAATTTGAAGAATTAATCCAGCCCAAGTACAGATAGAATTCTGTATTAAGAGTACCTATTGATCTGTTGTTCATTAGCACGATGTTAATCAATATTAAAGTGGTAGTCTGACATTATTCCTTAGTTTTACGCTAAAGATATCAAGTTCTTTTAATTTCAATTGTTCCAGCTTGTTGACTGAGTTAGAGAGGTAACAAGTACCGTATATGAGATGATAATTTCTTGACGAAATAAATAAAAATTAATGCATTTTTAAAATATCAAGAATATACAATTTAAATTCTTTTATGACAGTTAAATATTTTGCCGATTTTTTCTTATTTTACTTATTTCAAAGAACAGCATACCTAAAGGATAATGCATTGTTTTTTAGCATTTATTTATTAACAAATAAATATTTCAACACACTGAATACCAAATTGTATATCTTCGTCATATTTCTGATTATTTTTGAAAAGTTTTTCCAGCTCTATAATGCGTTTTTCGTTGTAGTGAAAAAGATAAATTGAAGTATCTATGTGGTCATTGTTATCTGCATTGATAAATAAGTTTTTGGCCCACCTCAAGCAGGATAATCGTCCTTGCAAACTTACATTAGGTGCTGCAGATTTGTGTGCATAATAAGTCGCAATATCGCGTATTAATCTACTAAGTAAGTCAAGTGCATGCTCAAACATTAGTATGTTATCAATATAATGAGTTACCCAGTTAAAGTGCTTTAATATGTTGCGAGTTAGTACATATATCGAGTGAATACATCTGTTGTCATATATTTGGGGTACAATAATACGACCGAGTGAAGCTGAACTAATTAAGAAAATTGTTTTTCCAACTTCAGATGCTGCATTGATAAATCTCATACAGCTGCCAACATTCCAAAATGGGTATAATGTGTGATAGTCTCGACCCAAGTAAAATGAATGAGGATACATATCGTAACAAGTTTCACCAATTAATCTATCAATATATTCATAGGAATTTGGAGTAACATCGTTTGTTTCATAAATTGTAATCATAGAGTTAAAGCGTATTTTATCTTGTAAATTATGATAGGAACACTCAAAATTAGCGTCAAGCCAGATAACGATATGATTGGGTCGAATCTCGACTAAAATTATAACAAAAATAATTATATCAAATATTGAATTCAATTTTAATTAAAAAAAAGAGTTTTGAATTGATAGATGCGTTCTTTTCGTTTCTTAGCTGTTTTAGTCTTCGTGCTCTTTATTTTTGAAAGGATGGTTTATTCCTTAAATAGATAACTGTTCTCGGGCCTAGTACAACAGACAATTTAATGAACCATATTTGCAAATCACTGTAACGTTATAATAGATAAAAAAGGTTAACAATAAATATAACTCTACGATTTTGACCATGTTCTGATGATAAAGGAATAGTAATAATATTTTTTAAATTATCTTTTTGTTTGTTTTTTTGTTCTTTTCATTATTTGAATCACTTTTTCTAAGGTCAGACACAAGATAAAATCGCTTCTTTCTAGACAACATATGTATAAACATAACTGTATAAAGTGTATCGATAAATAGAAAACCAAGTTTGTGAGAAAATCTTAGTTAATTAGATTCAAAAAATATTTATTTAATCTTGAAAAATACAGAAGCTGTTTACGATTCCTTTTTATCGTACTCACAGATGTTTTTCGAAGAAAAATAATGAGACTACATTGAAGCTGAGATTTTTCAAGCTTCTCTGCTCATAACAATAGAGATGTCAGGTGAATGGTTAACTCCTCTTTCTTAGCACTTGGGACCAATAAATTCAAGACTCCATCTCCTACACATTCACGCAGGTCTTTAGCAATTAAAAAAGATGTTGATTAATAATAAAAAACCAGCGCTTAGAATTTTCTAGAATTTTGCTAAGAATTCTATAAAATTTAACAGGCCGTAATACGTTTTAAAATGATCTAAATAGTATAGACTCTGGTTTTTGAGGTAGATAAATCATTCTATGATCGATGTCAGTAATGATAGGTAGTGGTACCTCGATTTGCCTCGGTTAACAGGCAACCAATATAAATATTATAAAATGATCGGTTTCTAACTTTCAGTAAAAAATCAATGTGAGTATTTTCGGTGTTCATCGAGTTATAGGACAGAGTGCGTTGAGGCATAGTGTGAAATTAAATGAATACATCCAGCCATGCGGCTGTTAAATCAACGAAAAGAAAAAAAAGTAATAAATTAGGAAAGCTGAATAAAAACGGTAAAGAATTAACGACCCATGGAATGAAAACCCGAGCGAAATCGGCGGTAAATGCCAAAAATTTTTGGTTAACCGCCGTTTTGCTCTGGTTTTCATTACATAGGGAGCATATAAAAACAATGTAGATAAAAAATAATGGCAGCAACACATTAAAGAAAGAAATTTATATCGAAATACAGAAACACGTAAGATAACGCTCCCTCATAATAGACTGAAAGATTTTCCTCGCTTCCTCCCCGAATGGGTCGCTTCATAGCAATTTTATATTTTCCCAAATAGAAATGGCTAAAAGTGTCATAAAGTTCGACGGAACACAATAAGAAACTAAAGTCTACTAATATGGGAAGGGTTTTAGGCGTTTTTCTGACGATTAGCTAACTTTGAACAGCTAGTATCATCTATTAGTGATTTTCCACATTATGTATTTTATATTACTATAATAAAGCTGAGAAAGATATATGAGTTCCACATCCAGTCTACTAAGGACTGCGCTTATAAATTTTTTTTTCATGTACTTAAGACAATGAATATTTACTAACGTCTTGTAAGATAACCTTTTCAGTTAATAAAAAGTTTTCACAATGAGGCTTATCCTATTAAGTTGAATCTGGCAAATCAAACATTGTTCAGCCGCATTTTTGGATTTGTACCTAGTTTGTCCACATTTTTTTCCACGAAAGAATATTTGCTATTTATATTTTTAAGTTCGTGCAGCTATGCGATATCAAGATGCGACAATATAATGCAGTGAGTTCTTACATTCTTCATATGATTCGCCTAATAAGCGAGAAGTATTGTACTGAATATTGAATGCTGATTGGTTTCGAGAACGAACTCGAGCGATCAGTGAATTATTTTCCACGAAATATAGATCAGTTCGTAGTTTATCAAGATATAGTTCGTCCAATATAACATATAATTTCCAACGTGCATCGTAGATTTCCAATAAAAAATTATTTATATCAATAAGAAAATGGTCGCCAATCAAAGAGTGAAGACTATGTAGCACTATTATATTCAGTTCAATATGAAATAGATGACATTGATTGATAAAATAAACAGTAAGATCAATTGAATCAACCATTTTATTCTTCTAGCACCGTTTCTAATTTTTCTAAAGCAAAACATGTAAATCATACGCTTATATCTACAGATTGGAATATATCGACAAGTGTCTGTAATTTTCGACGTTTCATCTGTGGTCTGCTGCAACAGATTGATGTAGTATCCGACATTTGTTTCTGAGCTACACTTCACATATACACACGCACTAGAAATTAAGATTTTAATTAATTCTAACTTCAAAAACACTAATTAAGAAAAAAGACTAAACGATTTTGGATGTATTGATTAAAAAGCATATAGGTGTCGCTAATTTTAAATGAGTCACTGAAAAGAATCATTACAACATGTGGGCACCGTTTAAGGGATTCTAAAGAATTAAGGGATAACATGGACGCCATAATAGAGGCTCAAGAAACAAAATTTGATTGGTTTATTTATATTATAAATACAAACTGTTTTATCGAGTTATGACTCATCGAAAAAAAAAGTCAAGCTACAGCTCAATGCAACCATAACAGCATTGATTTTAAATTATCTTGCATTATGGTTTAAGTTGCTATTATTGATAAATGGCAGAAACTCAATTTGAATTTTCGGAAAATCTCAATTAGAATTGAAATTTATTATAAAAATCTTATGGCCTGCTTTCGCTTAAGTTTCTCAAGCAATTTTCGCGTTTTGATTCCTTAGCCGTCTTCTTTTATTTTTTTCGTACAAAGTTACAACTATAGCATGCGGAGTATATCATTTGTTTATATGATGAGAATCTTAGGAATTTTTATCAAACATATATTGAATTTTCTTACTAAATCAATTGAA